TCTCTCCTGTGCGCTCGCTCTCCCCTCTCACTCGCTCTCACTCTCACGCATGCTCGCTAGAAAACACGGAGGGTATTTTGTGTTTGAAGCTAGTAGCCTTGGTCAAAGGAGTCCTCCGAAGAGTCGCTGAAGGAGGAACTTTGTCTTTTGTTACTTTTGTTGTTTTAAAAACTAAGTTATCTGTAATGAGCACTGCTACGCCATCTTTCTTTTGGCTTCTGTTTGCTTGAAATATTGTTCTCCACACCTTTACCTTTAGTCTAACTGCATCGTTGCAGGTTAGATGTGTTTCCTGAAGGCAGCAGATACTTGGCTTGTATTTTTTTATCCATTCGGCCAGCCTATGTCTCTTGAGTGGGGAGTTCAAGCCATTCCCAATTATTGAGAACTGATAGTTGGGGAAGATTTCTGTTCATTATGTTGGGTTGAACTTTGTTGCTTTATTTTTCTCTTGAGCCATTGTGGTATCTGGGCTTAGATATTTAGGTTTGAGTAGATTTACATTCATGAGCGTTTATTGTGCTTATCTGTGGGTAACACTGTTTTGAGTACTTCTCAAAGGGCTGGTCTTGTTTTGGTGAATTCCCTCAGTCTTTGCTTATCTGAGAATGTCTTGATTTCTCCTTCATATGCAAAACTTAGTCTTGCAGGGAATAAGACTCTAGGCTGGGCATTATTCTGTTTCAGAAGAGTGAGAATGGGGCCCCAGTCTCTCCTTGCTTGTAAAGTTTCAGTAGAGAAGTCTGGCATTATTCAGATTGGCTTTCCTTTGTATGTTACTTCCTTCTTTCATCTTACAGCTCATGGAAGGGCCTCTTTAGTTGATATTTTGGTCAGTCTTATGACTGCATGTCATGACATCTTCCTGTTTTCATTGAATCTCCCAGAGATCCTTTGAGCTTCTTGAACTTGTATCTGGAGATTTTTAGCAAGGCTGGGGAAATTTTCCTCTATTATATCTTCAAATAGCTTGCCCAACCCTTGAGTGTTTTCTTCTTCCCCTTCTGGTAACCCTATGACCCTCACATTAGGTTTCTTTACATAATCCTACATCTCTTGTAGGCTTTGCTCTTTTCTCTTGTTTCTCTGTTCTATCTCTGTGACTGATTTATTTATTGAAAGGTGTTATCTTCAATCTATGAGATTCTTTCTTTTGTTTCATTTACCCTGTTCTTGAGGCTTTCCACTGTGTTTTGTAGTTCCCTGAATTGATTCTTCATTTCCAGGAGTTCGGTTAAACTTTTCTTCATTGTATCAGTTTCTTTAGTGAATTTTTGTTCCAGGTCCTGGAATCTTTTTGCGTTTTCTTTGTGTTGGTTATCCAGTTGTTCTTGCAAGTTGTTGAATTTTCTTTCGATCCACGTTCAAAATTCCTCTTGTGTCATTTTAGTGGTCTGATTTTGGTTGGTATCCATTTCTAAGGAGCTGGTGCTCCTCTTTGGGTGTGTGGTTTCCGTTTGGTTCTTCATATTTCCAGAGTTCCTTTGCTTATTTCTTCCCATCTGGATTTTTTGTTGCTTCTTGCCTTTAGGTTTTTGTTTGGGTATTGACACGCCCTCTTTATTCTCTGAGCCAGTAGGTGGTGTTTGTGGGTGAGATTTGACCACTCCCTGTGTGATGAGTCATTAGGTGCCATGAAAAGGGTGTGCAGAATGTCCTCCCTTTCAGTAGGTGACGCTTGCTTAGAAGAGCAGGCTAACTGTTGTTTTTGAGTCTTGTATCCAGTTCTTGTTCCCTGGAGAGGCCTTCTAGTGCCTCAGGTGGTGGGTGGGGCCTTGGGACTTCAAGGTGTGTCCTTATTTTCCACCTCAGTGATGGCTGGTCTGGGAGAGAGTCTGGACGGAGCTGGGTTGGGTAAGCCTGCCCTCAGGCACCACCAATGCCATTAGCAGGGGTCAAAGTTCTGTTCTCTGCTTCCCGGAAAAGCTGTCAGAGAGGGGCTGGAATGGCCCCACTCAGTCAGAAAGTCTGCGTGTGGGGGTGGGGCCATCTGAGACCCACAGTCTGGAGCAGGACTTACTCCTTGCCACCCTCCCAATTCTGCGGCTACTCCTAGGTCTCTGCCAGCAGGCCAGACCTCACGCCACCGGGCTTCCCCTGGCTGTGATGCCGGCCAGGAGGTTCCCTGTGCAGGATTGCCACCTGGGCTAAGCATACGGCCCCCCTTTGGAAGGAGGGTTGCCCTCAAGGACGCTGATCTGTCCCTGAAGGCACACACACCTCAGTAGGCTGTTCACGAATATCCCTTCTGTGCCCTGGGCAATGTGAGACCTGGGTACACAGGATCTGGTCTGTAGGTCTGACCTCTGGGCCCCGGAGTTCAATCCCTGACCCCACCAGGGAGAGGAGTGCCAGTCCCAATTCATCCATGGGAGCCCAAGCTGGGTTGATGTCTCTCAGCCTCAGGGTTTGCCCTGTTCTCCTGGAATCACCAGGCCAGCAGCACCTAGGAGGGCTGGCAGGTAGGGAGCTCACCGTCTGAGTACTTCTCAGTCAGTTGTAGGGCCCCAAAATGGAAGGTCCCATTCCCTGGAGGTGCCTCTGGCTGGTGGCTATATTGTCTCTTTTGGCAGCCATGGTTAGGGATGGGGGAGGGGAGAATAAAGCAATATGGCGCCTGCTGGGAGGCTCGTGTCTGTGCACAGGGAGGTCCGAGGGAGTTGGGAGCCTGGTGCCACGTCTGCTACAGGCTCACCGCTCTCTGTCGGTGGCCATCTCTGGGCTGGTGTCCGCAGGTCTTTCCAACTGGGGAGCCCACCAGCAGTCTGAGATGCAAGGGAGGGAAAGTTAACTGCTCTACCTACCCTTGATGCTGGTCTCCAGGCTACTCGGGAGGTCTCTGCTTCCAGTTCTCCTCCGCAACCTCCTCCTGTGGGATATTCTGCGGTCTCAGGTACCCCTCCTTCTGACCCTCGTCCAGTGTATGCTCGTCTGCTTGCTTCTTCTAATTTCTCCTAGAATCTGTCTTTTTTGCAGAGACACTCTGCCTGGCTGTGTTTCTCGTCCACCATCTTGCTCCCTCTAGTTGATACATTTCTTCCAGAGCTCAGAACCCCGGCCCCCTTACTGGTGGTGTCACCTTGGGCAGGTCCTCTGCCCTCTGAGCCTCAGCTTCCTCCCCTGTAGACGGGTAGAGTCATGCTCCTGCCTAGAGGCTTGGCCTGGAGCCCTCACCACAGGTGTAGCTTGTCCTATCCTAACCCTTGTTGTCTTCACTGCTGTGACTGCTGCCCTGGCTGAGATCATCCTAGGCCTAGGCCATAGTGACATCATCTTAGCAGCCCCAGAGCTGCTGGGGGCAGTGAATGTCAGGTGTCAGGATGCTGTTACCCAGGCCAGAGGCGTTGAGCTGAGCTGGCCTCCCTCCTGAACAGCCCAGGGGCTCCTCCCTTCCCTAGGCCTTACTGTGAGTGCTGAAGCCAGACCCAGAGGCCTGGGCAGGGAGCAGAGCAGAGGCAGTTGGATAGAAAGCGATTAAGGGACTGGGGCTTGCCTGTGAGCTGGAGGAGCCCAGGGCATCAGTGGGTTGGGCCTCCCCGTTCACGGAAGTCAGGGTAGGCCATGTCACTGGCTGGCCAGCGCAGTGATGCTGAACAGAGCTGGGCTTGGGGCGCCCTTGTCATGGTGATAAGCCAGTGCACAGCCTAGGTGGGTGGCATGTCCTTCCATGCTGGGCCACCGCAGCTGACTCAGACAGGATTAGTGTTTGGAGGGTCCCCCTGGCACCCATAGCATTTCCCAGTCCCCTCACTCCCTTTGCAGACCTCACACTGTGTTCTTTTATTCTAACATTTTATTATGGAAAATGTCAAATACACAGAAAAAATGGAATGAATTGCACGATGACCACCCATGTGTTCACCGGCTAGAGTCTGCCCCAAAACTTTATTCCCTGGTTTGGTCACTTCTGGCTGCGCAGCTGTCCTGCACTGGCCATACATTTCAGAGTACGCCCAACCTGCAGTGTGCTTCCCTCTAAGCACTTGGTTAGTTGCCTTCTGTCGTTCTGTTGAGGTATAATTTATATATGAGGAAGTGCCCAGTTCCTAAGCATGTCATTCCGAGTGTTCTGGCAACTTTGTGTGCCACTGTGGCCCACAGCCCTGTCCAGATGCAGCACAGGGCCCTCTCCTTGAGGTTCCCACCGCGGCTAGCCCCTGTCTGGTCTGACACCTCGTCCGGTTTGCACTGGTGCCTGGCGTGATGCTTGAGATGTGCCATGTTGTGTATATTGAGCTCCGTTGCCTGCAAGGATCCTGAGTGTGCTTGTCCACTCTCATGGTGTCTCGCTTGCACTGTGTCCTCGCCAGGACTTGCTGTCCCCACAGTGTTCTGTGTGGGTTTTAAAAATTGAGACAAAATTCACATAACATGAAATTTACCACCTTAATGATCTTCAAGTATCATTCCCTGTTCCTGCTACTAATCTACCTGGCAACTGCTCCTTTCTCTCTGGGTTTGTCTGTCCTCCACATTTTATATAAATGAAATCATACGATTTGTGGCCTTTAGTGACTGGCTTCTTTCACTTGGCGTAGTGTGTTCAGGGTTCATCTGCGTTGCAGCGTGACTCAGTATTTCATCGCTTTCTATTGCTGTACGACATGCTAGACCACTGTGTGGCTGGACCACTTCATGTTATTACTTTCTCAGTTGCTGGCACATTTGGGCTCTCATGGCAAATGCTGTCTGGGCATCCGCGTGCTGGTTTCGTGTGGACGTTCCTTCTCACTTCTCCTGGTGTGTGTCCAGGAACGGAAGTGCTGGGGTGCTCGGTGCTCAGCCACTCTCACTACTTTCCTCTTTCTTCCAGCTGCGTGTGCTGTCAGGGCAGGTGTGGGTTTGTGCCCAGCCTGCTGCCTGACCCCCAAGGGGGAGAGCCTGGGAGGCAGGAGGAGGAGCTCAGGGTCCCCACCTCTGGGGCCTGAGCAGAGCGGCAGAGTAGCTGGGCCACAGGCAGCACGGTCAGTGTGTGTTCTCCCGTCTGCCTCATTTTCCAGCCACCCAGGTTGATCCTCAGGACCTCCAGGAGCTATTCCAGGAGACATCAGCCAATGTCTTCCGAATCAACTCCAACGGTGAGCCTGCACCTGGCCCAGGCTTGCCCCTGCCCCTGGGTGCCCTGGGCCGCTGCTGAGATGACATTGGAGGTAGCAGTGCTGGCATGTGGCCTTTTCCTTCCCTGGGCCATCCTGTGGTCCAGTCCCAGGTTTTGCGGGATAGGAGGGAGCTAGGACTTGGGTAGGGCCCTGGGCCTGTGGCTCCTGTCCCCCAACCCCCTGCCTGCTGCCCAGCCACATAGCAGGAGCCCTCAGCTCATTCCTATCCCCTTCTCCCTGGCTCAGCACGCACCCTCTGTGTGATCTAGATGAGGCCCTGTTGACAAAGGAGCATGTCCCAGGTTCCCTCGGGCTGGCAGGGCTGGCAGACTGAGGCTAGGGGTCAGGGGACAAGAGCCACACCCAGATGCCCAGCAGAGCAAGGAGGACAGGGGAGAGGGAAACAAAGGGGAAGACAGAAGCCTGCAGGCCTATCCCAGCCTGTCTAGGGGGTGGGTCCTGGCTGGAGTAGCCTTCTGGTGGGGGCAGGGAGGTCCCCGCCAGGGCCTGGCCTCCAGGCCACTTAGGTGGTCTGCCCTGGCCCTGGCCCTGGCCCTGGCCCTGGCCTGCTTGTGCTGTGGTGGGTTACTGTGTACAGCTGCCGCAGCAAGGAGACTCCTTCAGCTCTTCACACCTGTCTCTCATCTCTCTGGCAGTGACCTCCTTGGAGCGGAGCCTCCGGTCCCTGGGGACACCAAGTGACACGCAGGAGCTTCGGGACAGCTTGTGAGTGTGTGGGCTGCTGCATCTCCACACCTGTGTGTGGTGCTACATGAGTGGGTGGGGGGTCTTATGAGCACTTGCACACTGTATCCGTCCACATAGCCCACAGGTCGCCTCTCCTCAGAGCACACAGGTGTACCCGCCCCCACGCAGAAGCCCAGGTATGCCTGTGGACGCCCCAGAGACACAGGCATATGTGTGCTCAGGTGGTGGTGTATGCACTCGCTCATACACGTTTTGCACCACCAACACTTCCCAAGTGGTTCTCCACCTCACCCCAGCCTCGATGAGGGGCCCTCGCACTTGTGCCCGCACTTGCAGACACACCATGACACAGACGTGCCATTTGTAAAACTGCAGGCTGCCTTGGAGTGGGGCATTCAGGTTCTGGTTCTGCCCCCCAGGAGCTGAACCTTAATGGGGTCTCCAGCTTTCCAGGGGCCTGCCCCCGGTAGGCAGGCCTGGCATGAGCTGTGGGCCCTGCCCGAAGAGGAAGGAAAGGTGCCTCAGGTGCTATCTGTGAGCCGAGCCTGGCAGGGCCGGGGAGAAGGGAGCCTCTATGGGGAAATGACACCTGAGACTGGCTGTTGGTTGGGGTTGTCGGCACTCTGGGCTCTGAAGGGATGTGGCAGGCCTTTGCCCTTCCTGCCAGATGCTGCCACACTCACTGCCCCAACCTCTCCGCACCTGGCCTGGCCCGGCCCGTATCCTGCTCTGCGGTGACATGGGATGTGCCTTTAGCCCCAAGGGCCCCAAGTAGCCTTGGGGTCCTAGAGATGTCTGGTCCTTGAGTCCACCCTCTGCCACCTGCCTTGTACCCTCCTGGGCTGAGCTGTTGTCCACCCGAGCCTCATGCCCCGAGAGGGCCAGAGCTGAGGAGGGGAAGGCTGCAAGAGCTGCAGCTGCCATAAGGGCACCGGGCTCTCTCTGCCTCCTCCCCACAGCTCCACTCAGAACTCTCGGACACCCTGTTGGGAGGGCCCTGGGCTCCAGGTGCAGAGCGCCCTTTGCAGATGTTATGTGCAATTCTAATTTTTCTTTTTAGTTTTTTTAAAAAAAATTTTATTGTTTTCTGATATGAGGGTAACATACACTCATCACAGGCAATTTGGACACACAGGATGCCTGAGGAACCACTGCGGATGTGCTGGTGTTCCCAGCCAGCCTGTTCTCAAATCCCCTCACGTCTCGCAGAGTCAGATTGCAGCGGCTGGCGCTCTGGACCCTGCTTGTTGCACTTGGGTTGTGTGGTGCGCGTGCCCTCATTAGATGCTTTCTGAAAACATGCTCTTCAGCGGTGCGGAGGACGCTGTTGAACGCACAAAATCTGTGTAAGCAGGACTCTGGGCGGGCTCTCTCCGCTTTCTCAGTGTTCTGAGCAGAGTTCCAGGGACGTCGTCGTGTTTAAATCTTTGTGTCGCTGCCTGTTTCCCGGGCTGGGTCCCTGGGTCCAAGTGGGTGGGCACTTCAGGATCCTGGTCCTCCCATGTGTGCTGGGCTGCTTGGCCTGGTGGGCTGAAGAATGACGTCACCCATCGTGGGCTTCGGAGAGGACGGGGGCTCCCATGCTGACCACAGCCTGGTCTGGGGGCCGGTGTCCCCACAGCAGCTCACTCCCCTCCCCTCCTGTCACCTTAGTGCTTTCCTGCCCCTCCTGACGTGACTGGCTGCTGCCCAGGCTGCAGGCCCAGCCTGCCTGTCACGGCCTTCCAGAACCTTCCATGACTCCATTTGAGGTATGCATATCATGGACTGTTAACATTTTAAAACTAACTTTTGAGACTAACATGGGGTTGCCAACTCTATGTTTTCTACACACTGACAGAGTCACCAGCTTTTTATTTGGCCAAGTAAGGACTTAGGAAAAACAAAAAAAAAATAAGAAAAAAAACACTACCATTCATTATGGCCATCATTTTATAAAGGAAAAGACAGTTCCGACCTACAGGAGCAGGAGGGGGCTGACCTCAGGGGAAAGGATCGTCCTCCAAATTGAATAAATTATGTTTCACAAAAGCCTCACGAGGCTGAGGCTGAGCCTGTTTTTCTCATTTTGTGTGAGGCAGGTGTGACTCGGTCATGTCTGTCAGCCCCCTCACTGGACCTCGCCCTGGACCTCGTGGGCCCACGGGTGGGGGGTGGTGGCCGAGTTGATGATCCCACGGACGAGGCTTCATGGCAGTAGGGACTGTGTGCTTTGGGCTCACGGAGGCCCAGCGTCAGCCTTAGGGAGTAGCAGCTGAGAGACGGGACAGTGACCCCAGTGGCTCCTAGTGGGCAGGGCCCCTGTGCAGCACTTGCCAGGCGCATCCTCGGCATTGGAGCTGTGCCTGGGGCAGGCGCTGCAGCCCGTGTGTGCAGGTGAGGAGGCTCTGGCTCCAAGTGGCCCGTAGGTTGCCCGGGGGCCCAGAGCGTGTCAGCGATGGAGCTGGCTGGAGTTGGGCCTGAACCACAGCCCGCTCTACCCTTGCTCTAGGTCAGCCTGAGTTCGTGGGAGGCAGGGACTCCTCCCAGGCTGGTGGAGAGGTGCCCTTGTGCTGGGCTCTCAGGTCTGTCCACCCCAGACCTGATAGTTGGGGTAGTCCAGCTCCTGTGAGTGGGTGTGGGGGCTCATGTGCAGGGCTGAGGCCTCTCCTGGGCCACACTTGCAGCCTCTCACAACATCCTCAAGTCCTCAGTGACAGACCCCCACAGGACTGAGTACTGGGGGAGGCACCCCTTCCTGTGAAGACTAAGGTCTCTGCTGGCCCAGGCCTTGGTGGTCCCTTTCCAGTGTGTTTCTGACCTGGTGGGGACTCCTCCTGCCACCTTTCTCTCCTGGTGGGATTCTCCGTTGCTATGGAAACAGCAGCATCAGAGCTCAGAGTGGTGCTTCAGGGCACCCCAAAGGGCTAATACCGAAGTGGGTGGGCAGGCTCGCTGGAGTTCCCTCTGACATCGTCTTCTGTACCCTCCACATGTGCATTCTCAGATGTTCTAGTCAAGCTCGGCCCTCACTGGCCTGGCCCCCACCCAGGCCCTTCTGCTCTCCCTCCCCCTCCATTCTTGCCCATTCCTGCCTCACTGCCTGTCGGCGCTCAGCTCTTTGTTCCTAGTGCTGCCTGATGGGGAGGAACCCACTCAGGTGCCTGTGTGGCCCTGAAGCTAGGGTCCCAGGTGTGGGAGCGAGAGGGATCTTCAAAGGGAAAGCACACTGCCTGGCTGCTGCCACCTGCTGAGAGCAGGGAGGACACATGAGCCTGCGGACCAGGGTCCAAGCTGTGGTTAGGGGCTATGGGCAAGGTCCACTGTGGCCTCACTGCTGAGACTGGGGCCAGGGTCTTATGTCAGGGTAGAAGTAGGGATGGGCCAGTGGGGGAGGCTGAGAAGAAGTCACCAGGCAGATGGGAGGAAGACCAGGAGAGGATGTGCTCTGAGGCTAAACGGGGCTTGGGGGGCTTCAAGGAGGAAGTGATGATGTTGCAGGGCTCAGGAAGAGTCAGGAGCCCACTGCAGGGCTGGCCAGGGCCAGGCACCCCTGGGTACAGAAGGGCTGGGCTGCAGCCTGGGGCAGGTGCAGGGCCCACTAGTAGCCGCGGCCACATGAAGGCTTCGGAGCCTGTGACCGGGTTTGGATGCTGCCCCACCTGGGTGGGCTTGGCAGCTGCAACAAGTTCTCCCTGCTCTGTTTCTCAGAGCTCCTGTGTGTGCATGGGTCTGTGGGCTCAGGCCTTGCTCAGGCACAGGGCCTGGGTGCAGCAGGTCTCAGAGAGCCACCACTGAGCTGACCCAGTTGACTTGAGTGGAGGAGTGTTGTGGCCACAGGCAGCACTTGGAGGTCTGGCTGGCATGCTGGGGGCTTGGGACAGTGAGGAGGAGCCCGTGCTCTGACAGGCCATGCGGCTGAGTACACTGATCTGCAAGTGTCCTGTGGGGCCCAGACACTGGCTCTGGGCTCAGGCAGGTGGGCAGTGGGTGCAGGTGGAGAGGTGTGGTTTGGTGTCTCCGCTGTGGACCGGGGGAGCAGTTCCTCCTCCCCCATGGTAAGGGGGCTCTCCTATCTGCCTCACAGGTGTGTGCCGTGAGGAATCTGATCTCGGAGGCCAGGTGCTGGCGGGGGTGCCGCCTACTCAGTGATCCGTAGGGTTGGCTAGGTCTCTTCCCGTCTTCTCAGAGCTCTTGTCTTTCCCATCCTATTGGATGCTGTGTGGTCTGGTCCTGCAGGATGGTGAGTGGGAGGACGGGCCCCATAGGCATTCCCTCCATCCTCTTCCCCTCCTCCCCCAACCCTGACCCCTCACCTATCCTGGTTGGCACAGCTTGGGTGATTGTGAAGTTGGCTGGGCTCTCTTCCAGCTGGAGGCAGTCACAGTCTGGAGAGGAGTGCGTGTGGGGGGGGCAACGTACTCCTCCTGGTGTGTGACAGAGAGGACCTGTCCTCCCTGGGGTTTTTGGTCTTGGTCCCATGGGCCACATTCTCTGATCTGCTGTGTTGGGGATAGGTTGGGGTGGCCCTGAGGCAGAGATGCAGTAGAGGTGGCGGGAGGGTCTGCTTGGCCCACCTCCCAGGGTGCAGCGGCGGGACTGGGGGCAGACTGCTGGCCCTGCATGAGCAGCGCTTTCTTTCTCTCCAGGATTTGCATGTCAGAATCCTCACAGGCGAGATGAGGAGGCCTTGGATGAAGATAATCCAGGCCCTGGGCTCGGCAGCTCTTTGAGGGGCTTAGTCCTAACAGCCCTGCACTGCAGGAACACATGGGCAGAGAGGGCTCTGGCGGGGCAGGACCTTGGAGCCCGTGAATGCTGTGACTGAGCCTGCCTGCACACACAGACCTGCGGGGTTTGCTCGGGAGCTGGGAGCTACTGCAGTCGTGTGCTGTTAGCAGGCTGCTGTGGAATCGTCCCGATCACCCAGTGAGCTGTGATTGTGGGAAGGCCCACAGCTCACTTCTAGAGCCGCCTCTGAGGCCTGGAGCCTGACCGAACCCAGGTCCCTCATTTTACTTGTGGGAAAACTGAGGCCC